AAGCCGTTTGTCCTGGCACGCTGGGGAGCGGGGGAGGAGGAGTGGGGGAGAAGCTCCAGACTGCCGGAGCGATCTGCGAATGCAGGGAGGGAGGGAGGGAGAGATCTCTGCTGCAGGGGAGAGGAGGAGGGGCTTTCTCTAGCTGTCGGAGCCCCACGTAAGTGGCAGCATCCGGCCGGCTGCCCTGTTAGCCGCGCGCGCTCTGCATGGGGGGGGGGGGGGGAGGAAGAGGGTAAAAGAGTCCGGACATTTACAAACTCCCCCCAGACGCTATTTTTAGCTCAAAAAGCCGGACATGTCCGGGGGAATCCGGACGAATGGTAACCCTAACATATAAAGCTTTATAGGGAATACAGTACAACCTCATTTAGCCAAACTGTTTGAGAGAACATTTAAAAACATTCAGAGAGATGATGCTTTACATGAACGGAAGACTGGCAAGCCTGCTTTCAAAATCCTACAGGAGCCAAGCTTCAATGCATCAGAAGTAGGGATTACATGGGGTTTACCAATGCTGCTTTAGGAATCTGTAATATCAGCTACTGCAGAACAAACAGAAGCCTGAACTCAGGAGTTGACAGGCAGCAGAACTATTAGATTTTACTAATGTACAGCATTTAAAATTATACTAAGTGCTTCACAGCACACAAACTGTACAACATTTATGCCCAAAAGAACTTAAAATCTAATGTTATGTCATCATTTTTAAAATATATGTACTTACAATTTTAATATCTACATACACAAGGCCTAATTCCATGCTGACTTACAACTTGTGACAGCCCACAAGTTCAATGGAATTGCAGGGGTTGTAGTTCAGCACAGAATTTGACCAAGAGTCTGTTAAATGATTTGGGTTTAGAATATACTTTTGGTTGAAGCTTTGTTGGTTATTTTAAAAATACTACACCTCTACCCCGATATAACGCGACCCGATATAACATGAATTCGGATATAATGCGGTAAAGCAGCGCTCCAGCGGATCAAAGCAAGTTCGATATAAATGCGGTTTCATCTATAACATGGTAAGATTTTTTGGCTCCCGAGGACAGCATTATATCAGGATAGAGGTGTAGTTTTTAAATTTTCAAGCCAGCCTTAAACTACATAAAATCTCCAATAACATGATTACCTGTTGTGAGTTCAGCTGTTTAAGTACAGGCAAAAGGGCTTCATCTGTCTTTGTCCTAGTCCAGCCAAAGCAATTCTGACAGAATGTGTAGGCAGTTAAGGTTCATCAAAAATTAAAGAACACTTACTACCAAAGTATGAATGTGAAAAACGGAAGTTCCTCACCTAACCAAGCATCTCGAAAAGATACAGTACAAAAACTTTTAGGTACAGTAACAACAAAGGAAATGTCAAGGTCTAGTAACAACTATTGCCAGTATTATCCAAAATGTCTTCAGAAAAGCTTTTTCTTTTCTATTATCCATAAACTGTGTTTCAAACAAAAAGATCCCTTTGGCTACATCCAATATTGTTGTAAAATATGTTAACCTGAAGAAAAGAAAAAACCCTCAATGTTTGTATATACACCAGAGGCTTCATTAAGTTACCTAACTATGGACCATCCATTTTTAGACACATTGCTGTATCTCAAATTGCAATCAGTGCAAGAAATACTGTGGCAAGGGATGCTAAATAAAGTGAGGATGGAATCACGGATTTTATTTACATTTAAAGTGAAATCCTCCTCACCTTACCTTTGTTTGAAGTGAATGAGACTACAATATCACTCCTCATGCAAGTGAGACAAGCAGAATTCGGTTCTGGGTTATTGAACTTGCTAATAGACTCATGCATTCTTTTTTATCAAAGCAACTTTGGTTCACAACTCCAACCAGATATGACTGTAAAAAGATATTCTCTGATCTGTTCTACATCAGGCCTTCCCCAGATGAATGACCCCTTTGACTCATCCACCACAGGTTTCAGGTAAGCTTTTACTACTGCTGGATTTGGGAAGCCAGGACTCAGCTGCAGTTGCTGCAGTTTTTTCTTTACTTTGGTATCATGTGGATTGGGTCTTACTTTCTTATTCTTCTGAGCTTCAGTCCACCATTCACTGAAGAGTATAGGAGGAGAAAGACATTCAGTTGTTTCAGTAAAATACATTTTAGACTATTAAGGGCTATCAAGAGAACTTAAACAGCCTTTATTATTATTATTATTATTTCTTATTTGTTTCCAGTAGTGCCAAGACATGATAGGCAATTTCCAAACAACAAGCTGGCACAATCTCTGCCCCAAGAAGCATACAATCGAAAGGCACACACACACACACACACACACACACACACACACACACTTTAGGGAGAAGATACACAACCTATAAGTACCAGTGGTCAAGGTGATCTTTGGCCACATCTTGGTCTGGACAGTAGAAGTCAACTAGATTCCTCAAAGGCAGCACAACAGAAGTGGGTCTTCAAGAGGTATGTAAATACAAAGAGGGCGATGGCCTTACTGATGAGCTGAGGAAAAGTGTTCCACACATAGTGATGATTCTTGGACAACTTTTGTAACAAAAAATGACTTATGTATATATTTTTTTAAATAAAAAAAAAGTCATAGCCCCCAGTAAGCCCACTTCCAAGTGAAACTGCTCCATGAAATTTCAAAAATTTGGCTCCAGTGAACTGTGCTATGGATTTATAAGTGGTTTAAAACAATTTTTATTGGAAAACAGAGAAGCCTTCCTACTTACTAAATTTCTTTTAGCAATGTCTCCTGCTAATCCTCACTAACAGGATCACATGCACCCTTCAGCTCAAGTGCTCTGAAAGGAACAGTGGGCCTTGCCCTCTTGCCAGAAGACTTCTAAAGATGAGGGAATATTACTTACAAAGAGTAACAGTTGAAAACACAATCCAACCACACAGATATATTTATAAACCAGATACAAAAGAACCATATTCAAAAAACGTTAAAGTTAGAAAGTGCCTGAATTAAGATTGCTCATGCAGCCTTAATTCCAACCCCCCTCCATCCCCACCCCAGTCTTGCTCATAAGCATGATAGTCTTGATTACATACTGTTTTAACTGGACCCCGGATTCATTCAGTGCACAAGAAATACTGAATAGCTAACAATGCACTTTCCATGTGGCCCCATGCCAAACTGGCTGCACAACCATCCAAACCCTGCAGTGAACACAGAATTATTAATTTCTTCATAGGCTTTTCTACGGCACTCATCACCACAATATTCAAGTACTTCACAAACATTAATGAGCTTATCTTTACAACACCCTGTGAGGTAGGGAAATATTATCCTCCCCATTTTACAACTGGTGAACTGAGTCACAGAAGTTTCATTCAAAATGGTCAAAAGCGTCCACTGATTTTGGGTGCTTAACTCAATACACCTAGGACCTGATTTTCCAGTGTACTCAGCCTTTTTAACCCTTAATATGTTCATTGCATAGCGTTCTATGACTTCAGTTGTGTGTGTGCTCAGCACTCCTTCAAGTCTGACCACAGTTATCTAAAGCTGGGTACCCAAATAATAAAGAGCACATAGTTAGTAGCCACCTTGGAAAGCTTTGGTTTCAATGACTCGCCCAGCATCACATGTGTGAACTCTGAAAGAGACAGACAGAATCCAAATTTTCAGGGCAGCATTTAGCTTCCTAAAAAATGGAACAGTCTTTTCCCTTCCTGTGATTCCAGGCCTCATTAGCTATGCACTTTCCAAAATCTGCAACAAATGAGCTTGGGGTCCTACAGACAACACACATTCAGTACATAACCCTGATTCATTCCCAGAACACCATCCACACTGTCCCCTGAGTGAGACAGGAGTTATGTGGGGGGAAAAGTGTCTGTGATCATGTAATTAAAGACTGTATCATAAAGCATATGTATAAGGGGGCTGAATTAAAGGTTGCATAGGACAACCTTAATTCCAGCATTTCTTAACTTTTAAATGCATGACTTTGCAATGTTAACATTCATATAATTTTTTGGGGAGGTGGGAAGGAGGAAATAATATTTCCCAGATTTTAAGAAAAACAAAATGAAAATACAAAAATTCTATCATGTGAAACCATAATGGCCTCCCATATGGGTCATCAGCAGGACCAAACTGTTAGGTCCACAGCACAGACCTGTACTATGCCACCTAACTGATAGGAGTAGCCGGCTGTTATCTTTTATACAGCCCAGCCACTAGAAGGGGATACCTGGTAGCTAGCAAAACAATGTAGAAACTCAGGAATCCTGGGTTCTATTTCAGTTTCTGGAAAGGAATGTGTCTTAGTGGTTATTGACCCTTCTTTACATGCCCTCCTGCCCCTTCTGTTTCTTGCACGTAACCCCACAGCCTGTCTCTTCCCGTCTCTACCCTAATCTTTGTATGTCTCTTTTCAGGCAGTCTAATTCACATTCTTCATTCTCCTCCTTCTACCAAAAAATATAGAACACACCTTCTCCCAAACTCGGGGGGCCCATATCTGTTCCACTAGGAGGAGTCCAACTCTGAAATGAACTCTGAAGCAGTTGCTCAGTTCTAAAAACCCCCAAATCTCTCCAGTTTTATTCTATTAGCTACATCAGAACATCCTACTATTTCCTTGCCACTCCAGCTAACAACAACCTATATTCAGAAGGAGGTGACAGGCAGACTAGTTGAAAGTCTCTGCGTTAAGATAAAGGGGGAAAACATAAAGATGACATCATGGCAGGAATCTACTATAGATCACCAAATCATGGAGAGGAGATGGATGAAGCATTTTTAGAACAAATAGAAATATCTACAACACAAAACCTGGTCATAATGGGGGTCTTTAGCTACCCAGACATGTGTTTCCCATATTACTTTTCCAACAGAAAATATCCACTAAAGTCTTAGAATCCATTGGGGACAACTTCTTCCATCAGAAAGTAGTCAGGGGGATAGCTGTTTTGGACTTGATTTTGACCAACGGAGACTAATTGTTTGCTAATCTGAAGCTGGAAGACTGTTTGAGTGAAAGTAATCATGAAATGATGACTTCATGATTCCAAGGAAAGAAAGGAGTAAGAGCAGCAGAACAAGGACAATGGTCTTCAAAAAGGCAGACTTTAACAAACTCAGAGAACTGGTAGGTAAAGATCCCATAGCAGTTTCTAATGGGCACAATATGAAAGGCACAACTGCAAACTATTTCAGTGCAAAAGAAACATAGGGAGGATAGTAAGACGCCAATATGACTCCATCAGGAGCTCTCTAATGACCTGAAAATAAAAAAGGAATTCTACAAAAAATGGAAACCTTTCCAAATAGCTAAGGAGAAGTACAAAAGAATAGCACAAGCATGTAGTGACAAAATCGGAAAGGCTAAGGAACAAAATGAGTTACACCTAGCAAGGGACATAAAAGGCAATAAGAAGAGGTTCTCAATCTTTCCAGACTACTGCACCCCTTTCAGGAGGCTGATTTGTCTTGTGTACCCCAAGTTTCACCTCACTTAAAAACTACTAGCTTATAAAATCAGCCATAAAAATACAAAAAAAAAACCAACAACAAAAAAACATTATTACTGAAAACTTGCTTACTTTTTCATTTTTACTATATATTATAAAATAAATCGCAACCCCCAGGTTGGGAAACACTGATATAGCATACAAAGTAGCATAAACAAGTCATTCTCTGTATGAAATTTTAGTTTGTACTGACTTTGCTAGTGCTTTTTCATGTACCCTGTTGTAAAACTAGGCAAATATCTAGATGTGTTGACGTACCCCCTGGAAGACTTCTGCGTACCCCTGGCTGAGAACCACTGACTTGGATAAAGGAGCGGAGAGTATGTTTAGAAAATTTGTAGATACCATCTGAGGGGCTGCACTTTGAAGGACAGGATTAGAATTTAAGATGACCTTGACAAATTGGAGAATGGGTCTGAAATCAACAAGATTAAATTCAATTAAGACAAGCGCAAAGTACTACACTTAAGGTGCCTCTCCCCACCGCAGCCTTGAGCGCCTGCACAGCACTTAATAGGCTGCCGCGCTGCTGCAGAGCTTAGAGAGAACTTAGATTACAGTAGATCACAAATTGAATACAAGTCAACAACGTGATGCTGTTGTGAAAAAGCCGAATATCATTTTGGGGTGTATTAACAATAGGGTCGTATGTAAGACACAGAAGATAATTCTCCCGTTTTACTCGGCACTGATGAGCCTCAGCTGGAGTCCTGTGTCCAGTTCAGGGTGCCACATTTTAGGGAAAATGTGGATAAATTGGAGAGAGTCTAGAGGAGAGCAAATATATATAAGTGATAAAACCTGACCTATAAGGAAAAGTTAAAAACACTGGGTATATTTAGTCTGAGAAAAGAAGACTGAGGGGGGATCTGACAACAGTATTCAAATATGGCAAGGGCTGGTATAAAAAGAGCCTGTGATCAATTGTTCTCCATTTTCACTAAATGTAGGATGCTGCATATTAAGTCCATTACTACATAAGGGGTTAGGGAAAACTTTCTAACTAGAAGGGTAACTAACTCTGGAATAGGCATCAAATGGAGACTGTGGAATCCCCATCAGTGGAAGATTTTAAGGAAACATTGGAGAAACATCTATCAGGGATGGTCTAGGTTTACGTGATCCTCCCTCAGTAGAGGGGGCTGGACTTAGTGACTTTTTGAGATCCTTCCAGCCCTATGATTCTATGATAGCCATGTTGTTTTCTATAGTAACCTGTACTTTTCACCTATATTCACAACATCTCTCTTTACATGCTAAAGTGATAGAAAAATATGTAAAACATCTGTATTATGGAAAGAAAAAAAAATACAAATAAATCATACGTGAATTTTAAGAGAGGTTCCATTCCAGGCCCAGGGAATTCATTTAAAATCTCCATTGCTGTTACATAGCCAACAGATGGGATTCCTTCAGTGTAGTCACTTCCAAGCAAATAGGCCAAATTAATTAACTTGCTTCTGTCTAACCCTGTAAGACAGAAAATGTAAACCAGACATTACTCTATGAATTTAAACTCTGTTCTCCCAAAGACAATAATAGCACATTATCTGAAAATAAAAACAGTAACAGGAAAAAGCACAGGCATTAACAGAGATCAAAGCTACTCTGATTCAAGATCAGGGCTTGCTTTACATGCTGGACCAATCTCAAAACATTACTGCTGGCCCAATCACTAGTGATTGTCTTAAGGCACTGTATCTGACAACCCCTTCGAATCAAAATTAAATGCTGTTTAATTGGACTTGCATTAATTTCTGGCCTTTAAATTTCTTTATCTCTCTCTCAAAAAAAGTTATCACCACAATAGTTATGATTCTGAATGAGTTCCAGTAGTAAAAAGATATAGAACAAAACTGCTCATCAAAAACAAGCAAACAATATATCCAGCACTTGCACCTTACCTAGTTGGTTTTGAATATCCACATATTGGTAATATTCCACATACTTGTTTTGACTGAAGAAATTTTTATAAACATGCCGTGCTCCAAATAGCCAAATATCACTATCGTCAGTGATTGTCCCAGATGTCTGATCAGTAAGATCCAAGACAGCACATTGAGCCTCTGCCTCCATAGGTGCTTCAATGTAAGGAACACCAAACAGACGGAGAAGTTCCTACAGGAAGTGGGGAGTGGGGTTAATACTTCATCAAAAAGGACAGCTCATAATACATACTTGCTTAACTCAAAAATGTGCTTGGTTCACATTTGGATAATGTTTACCCATTCACAGAAAACCTAAACAATTTACATAAAAAGGTAAAGAGGCCAAATCCTACTCATCTTACTCATACAAGTAGTGCCAGGAAAGTCAAGCATTACAAGATCCCCTTACTTTGTTGGAGTTTGAGGATTTTGGTTTTTGACCCATTCAAACCTATCATAGTTTTCCGTTTTCTAGGGGAGATAGCCCTGGGATGTGATGATGGGGCCTGGAATAGCAGTTTGTGGGGGCAAAAAATCTGTATCCAGGATGAGCTGAACTGGAGAGGAGATGGAGGCAGGGACACTCCCCATCCCCAGCTTTCCAACCAAGATGCCATGCTGACCTCATAAGGAAGAAGGTGGCCTTCACCAGTTGGATAGGTCATTATTTTGTCAACTATACTCTCTTTGGATCTAATTCCACAAGCCTAACACATGGCAAGGAGCACCTTATTCTGTGAGGAAACCCATTACTACGCAATGTGAGCTAGGATGGAAGAAGACAGTTCAAGAATATAAGGTGTTATGCAAGCTGTATTTAATGCAAATATGTATAGGAACAGGACTGCACTATACTTCAAAAGCATGTGTCCACCGGCTCTCTTTTTTAAAAAATGGTTAAATGAAAAAGAAGAATATATCTAGGAACAGGGTATCTCAGTGCAGAGACAAACCACCACAAATCAGTTTTTATAGATTTTGAGGTCTTCTCTGAACATCTAGTCTTATTCTCCTGCAAAACACATGCCATCTAATTTCCCATAGTAACTTCTGCAACAGATCCACAACTTCTGGTTGAATTAGAGAATACCTTTCAGAAAGACATCTAGTCTTAATTTAAAGACTTCAAGTGACAAAGAATCCACCACGTTCTTTTCCAAGTTGTTCTAATCCTTAGTTACCCTCATTGTTAAAAATTGGTGCTTTATTTCTACGCTGAATTTGTCCACTTTCAGCTTCAAGCCACTGGATCTAGTTATAACTGTCTGCGAGATTAAGCACCCATCTGCTATCAGAAATCTTCTCCCGATGTTGGTACTTTTAGACCACGGGTCGGCAACCTTTCAGAAGTGATGTGCCGAGTCTTCATTTATTCACTCTAATTTAAGATTTCACGCGCCGGTAATATATTTTTAAGTTTTTAGAAGAGCTCTCTCGAGAAGTCTATATTATATAACTAAACTATTGTTGTATGTAAAGTAAACAAAGGTTTTTAAAAATGTTTAAGAAGCTTCATTTAAAAAATTAAAATGCAGATCTTATCAGTTTAGTGCAGTGGTTCTTAACCTGCGGTGCATGGACCCCCTGGGGGTGCAAGATGCCCTTTCTGGAGGTGTGAGACATGGGAGATTTTTTTTAGAAGGTAAATCATCAAAAACACAAATTAAGCACAGGCACGTAAGTACAGGGGGCTGGGGCAGGGGGCCAGGTGGCTGGAACCCCAGACCAGCAGCGAGGTGAGTGGGGACGGCGGCTGGTATCCCAGGTCGCAGCAGGCTGAGCAGGGCTGATGGCCGGACCCCGACTGGCAAGGGGCCGGCGGCAGGAACCCCAGACCGTCAGCGGGCTGAGCGGCTCAGCCCACCCCCGGTCTACGGTGCTATCCGCCAGTGCCTGCCAGCCCGGGTCCCAGCTGCCGGCCCGCTCAGCCAGCCTCACCCAGACCCACAGCAGGCTGAGCAGCAGTGTCCCAGGGAAAAAAAAAAAATCGGCTTGCATGCCGTAGGTTGCCGACCCCTGTTGTAGACCATGATCAAGTCACCTCTTAACTGTTTCTTGAATAAGCTAAATGCTCCCTCTAATTTTTCTCCCTGTACTTCTCAATTCCAAAATGACTGAAAACAAGCTAAGTAAATCACTAACTTAGAGAGGAAAACACCCACCCTCCTTAACTGGGTAATTCATTTGTTTCAATACAAGTTACTCAAGTGAATATTCTTTTAGGAAAGTGAAGTATTACAAGGCTTGAAAAGTCCTCAAGCATGTCTGAGAGCAGACACCACTTTAAATTCTGGTGTTCCCAATTTACAGATTCCAGGAAGTCCACTTTGGACTTCACTATTGCTATTGATTTAACGTGAAGGGTGCTCCAGTTCTATAAATGATGTAGCATACAACAGGAAGACAGAGACAGTTGTGAGCAAGTAATTTTATAGCCATATTTCTGACCATGAAAGATAGCAATAACATCCTAGACGTTTTTTATTTGTTTTTCTAAAAATTCCTATAATAATATGAATGAATGGTATATTTACATGTCTCAATGGTGCGGATAAATCTTTAGAAACGTGTTCTGATAAAAAGGTTTCAGACTGGACTCTGCTAAATGTGCTGTTATGTGACATATAACAACTCCAGTTATGCGCGCGCGCACACACACAAATCTATGGAAATTACTCTCCCCATTTCTTCTCCTTCCTCCCTTGTACAAAGTGTGGATGTGCGTTAGTGAATCATTTTTTAGTATTTTCAGGCTGATCTTATTCATTTTTATCTAATGCTACCAAAAGCTAGAATGTTTACGTTTTTTTTTAGAGCTGCTGATTAATCGCAGTTAACTCATGCAATTAACTCAAAAAATTAATTGCAATTAATCAGTTTTAATCACACTGTTAAACAATAGAATATCAATTGAAATGTATTAAATATTTAAGATGTTTTTCTCCATTTTCATATATAGTGTAGTCTGTGTTGTAATTGAAATCAAGGTGTATATTATTTTTTATTACAAATATTTGCACTGTAAAAGTGATAGAGAAATAGTTTTTCAATTCACCTCATACAAGTACTGTATTGAAAGTGCAACTTGCAAATGTAGATTTTTTGTTACATAACTGCACTCAGAAACAAAACAATGTAAAACTTCAGATCCTACAAATCCACTCAGTCCTACTTCTGCCAATCGCTCAAACAAACTTGTTTACATTTACAAAGATAATGCTGCTCTCTTCTTATTTACAAATGTCACCTGAAAGTGAGAATAGGCGTTTGCATGGCACTTTTGTAGCCTCTTTGCAAGGTATTTGCATGCCAGATATGCTAAAAATTCGTATGCTCCTTCATGCTTCGGCCACCATTCCAGAGGAAAATGCTTCTATGCTGATGACGCTTGTTAAAAAAATAATAATGTGTTCATTAAATTTGTGACTGAACTCCTTGGGGGAGAATTGTATGTCTCCTGCTCTGTTTTATCCGCATTCTGCCATATAATTCAGCTGTCTCGGATGATGACCCAGCACATGTTCTTCGTTTTAAGAAGATTTTCACTACAGATTTGACAAAACGCAAAGAAGGAACCAATGTGAGATTTCTAAAGATAGCCACAACACTCAACCCAAGGTTTAAGAATCTCAAGTGCCTTTGTGTGGAGCATGCTTTCAGAAGTCTTAAAAGAGCAACACGCCAACATAGAAACTACAGAAACCGAACCACCAAAAAAGAAAATCAACCTTCTCCTGGTGGCATCTGACTCAGATAATGAAAATGAGCATGCGTCAGTCTGTACTGCTTTGGATTATTATCGAGCAGAATCCATCATCAGCATGGACCCAGGTCTCCTGGAATGGCAGTTGAAACATGAAGAGACATATGAAGCTTTAGCGCATCTGGCACATAAATATCTTGCGACGCCGACTACAACAGTGCCACGAGAATGCCTGTTCTCACTTTCAGGTGACACTGTAAACAAGAAGCGGGCAGCATTATCTCCTGCAAATGTAAACAAGCTTGTTTGTCTGAGCGATTGGCTGAACAAGAAGTAGGACTGAGTAGACTTGCAGGCTCTAAAGTTTTACATTGTTTTATGTTTGAATACAGTTTTTTTGTACATAATTCTACATTTGTAAGTTCAACTTTCATGATAAAGAAATTGCACTACAGTACTTGTATTAGGTGAATTGAAAAATACTATTTCTTTTGTTTTTTTACAGTGCAAATACTTGTAATCAAAAATAAATATAAATACTTACACTTTGTATTCTGTGTTGTAATTTAAATCAATATATTTGAAAATGTAGAAAACATCCAAAAATATTTAAATAAATGGTATTCCATTATTTTTTTTTTAATTGCGCAATTAATTTTAACCGCTTGACAGCCCTAATTTTTTTCAGCGATCCCTTGCTTGAACTGTTGAAGTCTGTTTCAAAACAGTTTGCTCAGTTTTTACCTGTTAAATTAGGATCAGTTACAGTGTTAATAGTCTGTCTGCCACCATGTGGCTTGCAATATCTCAAGCTCTTACCAAAGTACAATTAATTGGCGGCGACCCCAGGGGGGGGGGGGTTTAAAAATCACATCATGGTGAAAATATGAGGAAGCCTTTTAACCTCAGAAACTGGGACACAATTTATACCATATGAACTATCCCTCTTTTCCTCCAAAGAAAGCTTGCAAATTAGTATTTTGGAACACCGTTTACAAGTATTAGATCATTTATACCACCACTGCGCGTTACTTCATGGGGTGTCAAGTCAGTATAGTCTTTAATCAAGACCAGATACCTTTAAACCTATAAGTATTTAAATCAAGATAGAGCTATAGCATACCTTTTAGAAAGAGATCCTAACAAAAGTTATGGACTTGATGCAGAGATTACTGGGCGAGGCTCTTCGGCCAGTGGTATGCAGGAGGTCAGATAATCATCATAATGGTCCCTTCTGACCTTAAAAATCTATTAATCTATAGGAAACCTTAACTGGCTACAGTTTACCTGCATTAAAATTAGAGTGATTCTATATTATTGTGAGGGTTTAATATTCAAAGGATTTTGCATGGTTCACATGCCTCGTACAGAAAGAGCCAAAGATCAAATTCAGGGTGGGGTGGGGTGTTGCTCCCTCCTTTCAGTGTTGTAGAGGTAAAAGAAGTCAGGGGTAGCATTCAAGCACATTTTTCATTCAACTATGGTAAATACGAAATCTAAGCCCCACAAAAGTGAAAAATCTGTAAGGATTCAAAAAAATACTATTGTGCATATGTGCAGTAACCAGAGCCTGATACAGCAAGTGCTTACATGTCCAAAAAAAATAAGCTACTAGCATGACTTCAACTGGTAAGAAATGCAGAAAAATGAACACACACAAAGCTTGATATGGCACACAAAAGCATAACTAAAACAATCTTTTGGCTTTTCACAGAATTATAGAAATGTAGGGCTGGAAGGTACCTTGAGACATCATTGAGTCCAGCCCCCTGTGCTGACCATCCTTGATATGTGTTCTGTTCTTAAAAACCTCCAATGATGGGGATTCCACAACCTCCCTGGGAAGCCTGTTCCAGCGCTTAACCACCCTTATAGATATTAGGAAAACCTTTCTAGCTAACTTCAATCTCTCTTGCTGTAGATTGAGCCAATTACTTCTTCTCCTTCCTTCCGTGAACAAGGAGAACAATTGTTTGTATATTTTCAAAAATTGTACATTTCAACAGTACAGTTTTTAAAAAGTTTCAGTTCAAACAACATTAGGTACAACTTGCTGTACTTCACCTTATAAAGGCTTTTTAATTTCTACTCAATCTTATTGCTCCCTTCTCTTGCCCCACACTAAAAAATATAAGCTTGATATTTGAAAAAAGGGAAGATACTTTCCCTTATTTATTCATGAACTATAAACCGTAACTGTACAGTGTAACAGTAGTTATTTCGAGCATTTTGAATCTGAGACATGTTCTTTTAATATTCTCTCAAGTAGGCTGAGGAAAGAAAACAAGCTCGTAAGCGAGAAAAGTGACCCAGAATTAAACATTATAAACAGTTTTTGACATACTGTTTGACTTGCCAAGAAGTACAAACAAGGATTTTTATTTTTAAATGTCAATATGAGCGTCAACAAACATTACCTGACTTTCCAAGAACATCTGTCCTGTTACAGTGGCAGCAATACGTTCTTGCTGTTGTTTTTGAGCCTGAAGCATGTTTTGCTCAACAGAAAGGTTGTTCTCCAAAGCTTCCAATTCCTCCTGCACATTAAATAAAAGCAAAGTTTGGTCATACCAACAGTGAAGTATATTAATTGTTTATACATATATATGTGCTTGACTATAATTACAACAGGAGCCTGTGCACCACTAATTCACACAGATGCCTGTAAGTCTTCATACTCTCCTAATGAAGCACATCATAAGGATATAAATAGAAGAGCTGAGCACTCATAGCTCCCACTGACTTCATCTGGAGTTGTGGGTGCTCAGCACCTCTGAAAAAAATCAGGCTCAATATATTCTGTACCTTTCAAGCAGACAAATGAATAAGACAGGGATGAAGCCAGTAAGTTAAAGGAGGCACACAATAGCTCTGCCACAAGTTCCCATTCAGTAGCGTCCTTTAGAAAAGCAATTTAACTGGAGATTACTTTACTATTCACTCAATACAACTAACAAAAAAAAAACAAGTATCATTACCAAACTAATATCTTGCCACTCATTCACTGCATCTTCCCTGTCTTTTTCGGTTTCAGTATTCTGATGAATAGTCAACTGCACTTCTTCAGCAGTATCTTTAAGGAGGTTCTCTGTGGCACCCTCATCTCCTTCCTTCTCCAGTTCTGTAGCTGCTGCTTCAACAGCCAATGTCTCATCAGGTTCAGAGGGAGCATGTGATGTCTTAAATATTTCACCTGGAAACTCAGTGTCATTACTAATTTCACTGTCCACTTCAATAAAGCTACCTGCACAAGGGGAAAAAAAAAAAACAAAACCACACGATTTCTTCCTCATTAAGGGAAAAAATACCATACTCAACTCCTAAGATACATTCATTTTGTTTTTATTTCCATCAGACAGAATTCCATGCTCCAGGACTCCTGTGAGCAGTCCCACTGTTAGATGTTGACATTCCCTACTTCTCTCTAAAAACACCTAAGAACTTTTGCTGCTCTCACAGTTTCTGTAGTACCTTTTTTTGTTTCAGACTAGTGATGTCCTGAGCAGACAGAATTAAATATTGATTGTCTGAACTGGCTTTACATTTTTCTTTATTTCCTTATAAGATTGATACTGATGTAGAGTGTGAAAGCTTGAAGAGTCTTTACAGTTAAGATAAGACAGATTTTCTCTTTGGAAATATCAGCAATTGGCCTTTTTATTCATTCAGTTTTTAATAATTTGTATTGACTTGATGAGAACTGCAGTTTTACTTTCCCCTCCACTCAGTGTAAAGTTTTCAGGATTAATGCTGATAGGAATATAAAAATACAGCCGTAAAAATAAAGAAGGCGTGTGATTTAGGAAATTTTAAGTTTTACTTAAGAGTTATTGATTTATTTAGAGGAAAAAAGGAACGGGGGAGGGATGTGTGAGCATGAGTATATATCTATGTTTTTCCTGTTGCGTAGAACTTCCCCCAAGAAAAAAAAAAAATCATGTTAAATAGCTTCTATGTGGTATGACTTCTGTAGAACTTTTATATCAGAAACCTATATTATAGGTAGGTAGGTGTGTGTGTGTGTATATATACATATATGAGTTGGCTTGTTTTTAAAACAGAAGATATCACTCATTACTTTGCATAATCTTATTTTTAAATGAGTAATGAAATTGTGACTGTGTGTAATAAAAACAGAAGATAGAACAGAGCATAAAATGTTTACAGTTTTAAATGCATTGTATAGGAAAACAAAACAGTTGAAAAATAAATTTTAGTGTAAGTCTTTAATGACAGGAGCAAGCATCGGAATGGCCTGATCCCTCAATGAATTTCTCTCTTCACCACTGCTATGAGAGGAGGGAAGTTTACACCCATGAACCCAACATACATGAGGGGAATACCACCCTTCCTGCTGACCTCACAGTTCTATGGGTAGGGAAGGGCAGCAGGTGTCTGCCAGATTCTACACCAAGCCCACATATCAAAGTAGTTCAAATTAATTTATGCTGCTTACCTCTCTGTGCCATGGAATTTCCTCACCCTGTCAAGGTGGGATCCAGGTGCAGCAGACAGGTAAGACCTTAGCAGCATGACCTTTTGCATGAGCCAAATTGTTCATGGAGCTAGGGGAGCTAAAGTGGCTGACCATCAATACAGAGTTTGCTCAAATTTAGAGAAAAGAATGGTAAATTTTGCCTTCCCCGCCAAAGAATTATATGAAACTACAAGCTGAAACTACAGATTTCAATTACCATGAATGGCAATAATGTTTATTATATAGTAGTGTGGGAGCATCATTACAGTTTAAAGGTCAACCTTTCTAAATCCTCTAAAATGGACACACACACACAAATTTCAAAGAAATCTGACTATCTCAGGAGGTTCCAGGATAGGATTAGTGATGCAAATTTGGAGTCATTCAAGCCAGGGGTTCTGGAAATAAGCCCTTCCAAAAAATGACATTTTAAAAATAAGTTTCTAGGTGTTTTTTTGGGGGGGCCCAGAGCTAGAAATCAATGTATTGAGGAGATATGGGTCAAAAATGGTTTCAATCTGCAGCATTTTACCTAAGGCAGCGCATGGTACCCACTAAATCTTTGCAGGACCCAAATTAAACAGCATTAAAGAAAATATACATGTTTACACTGTAAATGTACCAATACAGAGAAAGGATTGCCATTCCAACTATTTTTTATGCTTTAAAGCTCGAATCTTGTAAGTGGTCTAACATCCAATTGTTTAAGTGGATTGCTTTGAAAATTGGTGTGCTTCATGGAGGTGCAGTGTAGCATTAGTGATTCAAATTTGGGTTCATGACCAAAGGATTCCCAAGTTGCAGACCCCCCTGCCCCTCCAAAAAAATAATAATCTGTTTCTTTCTGTTGCCTTGGACTGTTAAACTGAGCTAGGAACTAATGACTGGGTGAATCACAGACCTCTCGAATCCTGTGACCCTACCCTTCAACATCACTAAGGATAAGGAAAACACAAACCCCCACCTAAGACAAAAGGACTTCGGAACCAAGTAGCTGTTGGTTGCTACAATTTGTGAATCACAAGTGGCAATTTTATTTTGCAGGGGTATGTAATCAAAGTATATGGGAAAATAAAGACATGTGAATGCTTCCTGGGAAAGGAGGGAAGTGGGAGTGAAGAAGAGTGTGAATAGGGGTGAGAGGGGTTTGGGGCTGCAGCCAGGAGAAGGGGTTTATGGGGAAGGAAATAAATGGGGATTGGAGGTTGGAGAGGCAAGGTTAGGAGCTCAGGGAGGCCTGGCAGCCCTCACCTCTGCCTGCATCCCCAATGCACCTCACAGCTCTGCCGGCACACCGTCACCTCTCTGAACTCCAACAATATTCCACTATAAACAGTTTTTCTCGGCTCTAGGCACTGCACTGGAATCAGATTATAGGAAGGGTGAAGAAATAGCAATAGAACTGTTTTTATACCTGGGAGTGAAGACTTCAGAGAAATGCTTGCTTGTGGTGGGAAGGCGTGGATACAGTAGTGGGGAGGGGGGCAGGTTGGATGGAGGAAAGCACTGGATGAGTCAGGGGCATAGTTGGGGAGGGATGCTGAAGCAGGGCTGGTGAAAAGTGGCAGGAGGACAGGCATGGGGAGGATTGCGGCTGTCTCAGTATGCTAACTACCTAAATGACTACTAACTCCTACCAAGATCATTTCCTGTTCAAAAACCGAGGTAATTCAATGGCAAAAAAAAACAACTACATTAATGCAGAGTTACGGCTGCTGGCGGTATGTTGTCCTCTTGCAGAACACTCAGTTTAGCAAAACTCAAATGTCTGAAAACTAGGAAACGCAGTTAAGGTTGCTCATGCACCCTTAACTCGGTCCTCTTTCATCAATGCCCAATATAGCTTGTTAACACACCCTGCCAACCCCACAGTTCCCGAAATGTATAAGCTGTTCACCTCCTTTTTCAACCCATTTCATCCACAGGGTTCCAGCTAACACAATGAAAGGGCAAAAAGATGGGGAAGGGGAAAGGTTGCTCACACCTTTCCTCTACCCTCTTTGGGCAGTGCCTTACTATGCATGTAACACATACCCAAAGAGGCCCTTGGCACTTAAGATTCAGGAGGTTCCAGATCCTGGTGTACAGTCACACACTTAGCTACCTCCTCAGACAGAATACCACATGTAAAATTTAAGGACCACTTCACAGCATTTTACAGCTCTCTTACACTTACTCACAGGATACAATCTCACTTTCATGTAACCATCATTTAAGCATTAGAATCATGTTCCCCCTCGTTGCTGACAATGCCCTTTGTAAGAATACTCCTGTGCCCTGCTAATTATACAACATGTACACAATTCTAAACTGAAATGATGCATACTGCATCCTGAGAGTACATGTGCAGCTCTTCCCTTAGCACTGACACCTCAGTGTGCAAAACATAGATCTCCTCATATCCTAATCACTGCCCTGTCACACATGTACACATGTCACAAACACACCTTACTTCGCAGGCCCAACTGCTGCCTCCACCATTTAGTGCAAGTACACCTAACACACTGACTGCGCCTGGAGTGTATGCGAATAATTCCAATTGACTACTGCCAGGGGAATAGAAGGAATGTGGCATCCTCAACTGCCTCTCCGTTCCCTTCCCCCCATAGTATTAGATGGAATCCTGTAGGTGAGACAGAATGAGTGGAATGTAAAAGGAGGTGAACAGCTTACACATTTTGGGAACTGTGGGGTTGGCAGAGTAAAGGTATCTGTGTTAACAGGGTGGATTTGCTGAAAGAGGGCAGAGTTAAATATGCATGTGCAGCATGCAAGAACTCTGCAGTTCTTGGTTTTCAGATGTTGGAGTTTTGTTCAACTTAACATTCTGAAAAGGCACAACATACCACCAATCAACATTAACTCTGCCTTAATATAGGTTTTTTTTTGCCATTTAACTGAATCATTAGTCAAAATGTTAAGATATCAATTGACAGCTGACGTATATTGTTAGTCAGTTTTTTGCTCCCAGAGGATCAGAGAAAGTTTTATATTAAAATTGGAGGAAATCGGTTACTTATCAAGAGAAGATGTATTTATAGGTTGCCAGATTTATTGAGAAAACACAACTAAGAATAGAATCTCAAATTTGAGGTTCTAATCCAAAATCTGACTTGGATACGGGACAGAAGTGTTCTTCCCTGCCAAATTAAGTTATTATGGAGCCTAAGATCGGTTATTTCTATATAAGGAGACAAAAGGGCTTATGGACACTGGTCTCTTTTCCCAGGGACTAAAATGATCATGTCAAACCATTGGACGATCTCAATCTTAGAAAAAAAATCTTATTTGCCTGAGTTCTGGCAAATCCCAGATCACCCAGTTAACAGTTTATACCATATACTTTTAAAAATGAATATAACATTTGGATACCTAAATACATTTTGTTATTCAAATGACTACTTAACTCTTGCAGCATCACAACCAAATGCAAAGGATGGTCTGGGTATTATTCTTTATACAGAACACTTTTATATGAACAGTTCTGTCATGCTTACTGTGCTTTGCTACATTGCTGTTGCTGGGTTTTTGGTAAAGAAAAATTTCCAAATAATTAATTTCTCTTTGACAATCAGAAAGACTGAATACTGCTGGAATATTAAGCGTAGTATTGGAAAGTTCTTCTGATTTATAAACCAGTATCAAAACAAGACAAATTTAGGAATGATCTCTGAAATGAGGCTCATCATAATTAGAGCAACTGTCAGTCCCTCTTCAAGAAAATATTGATTTGTGACAGAGGATAAGAAATCATCATTTTAATCAAATACTCTCATTTCAAATTCACAATCCAATAAAATTACTTCTCCCTACAATTAAAGTATTAAAAAATTCCATATTAAAAACTGCTTTGTACTTTAAAAAAAATATGAAGCACTTCTTCCCATCTTCAAGAGATTATATATTTAATTGTCAATAAGGCCAAATTTAAAAGTCATACATAAGAGATGTTTTAAAAATACAGCTTTGTCTCTATTAGAAGAGGTAAAAGCAAGGGTCATGTCAGTAGATTGTAAACTCTTCAGGATAGGGAATCTTGTCTTCCTGTGTATCTGTTCTGCTCAACAACTTTATTAATGATCTGGATGATGGGATGAATTGCACCCTCAGCAAGTTCGCAGATGACACTAAGCTGGGGGGAAGAGGTAGATAGGCTGGAGGATAGGGGTAGGGTCCAGAGTGACCTATACAAATTGGAGGATTGGGCCAAAAGAAATCTAATGAGGTTCAATAAGGACAAGTGCAGAGTCCTGCACTTAGGACGGAAGAATCCCATGCCCAGCTACAGGCTGGGGACCGACTGACTAAGCAGAAGTTCTGCAGAAAAGGACCTGGGGATCACAGTGGATGAGAAGCTGGATGATTAGCAGTGTGCCCTTGTTGCCAAGAAGGCCAATGGCATATTGGGCTGTATTAGTAGGAACATTGCCAGCAGATCGAGGGAAGTGATTATTCCCCTCTATTCAGCACTGGTGAGGCCACACCTGGAGTATTGCGTCCAGTTTTGGTCCCCCCACTACAGAAGGGTTCTGTCAAAATTGGAGGTAGTCCAGCAGAGGGCAATGAAAATGATTAAGGGGCTGGAGCACATGACTTATGAGGAGAGGCTGAGGGAACTGGAGTTATTTAGTCTGCAGAAGAGAAGAGTGAGGGATAGCAGCCTTCAACTACGCCTCTACCCCGATATAACGCTGTCCTCAGGAGCCAAAAAATCTTACCGTGTTATAGGTCAAACTGCGTTATATCAAACTTGCTTTGATCCGCCGGAGTGCGCAGCCCAACCCCTCTGGAGCGCTGCTTTACCGCGTTATATCCGAATTCGTGTTATATCAGGTTGCGTTATACGGGGTAGAGGTGTACCTGAAGGGGGGTTCCAAAGAGGATGGAGCTAAGCTGTTCTCAGTGGTGGCAGATGACAGAACAAGAAGTAATGGTCTCAAGTTGCAGTGGGGAAGGTCTAGGTTGGATATTAGGAAACACTATTTCATTAGAAGGGTGGTGAAGCACTGGAATGGGTTACGTAGGGAAGTGGTGGAATCTCCATCCTTAGAGGTTTTTAAGGCCCGGCTTGACAAAGCCCTGGCTGGGATGATTTAGTTGGTGTTGGTCCTACTTTGAGCAGGGGATTGGAAGAGACCTCAGGAGATCATCTAGTCCAACGCTAATATTCTATAATTCTATGTTCAGCAATTAGCACAATCAGGCTCTAATCCTGATTGGGGCCTTGGCTACCACAATCAAATATGTAAAAAAAACCAGCATGCTGCACATACCATCTGAATCACTCTCTTCAGACTGTGATTTCCTTTGCACTCTTGCCTCATTAGGATTTGCTATTTCTGGAGTGACTGAAAGTGAATGCTGTAGCTCAGAAGTATTCTTTTCCGCTTTTGATAAAACATACTCTACATTTTCAGATTCCCCGTTGTTGGAAATTTCTGTAGTTTCTGAGTGAATCAGAGCTACTGAAGTGGTCTGTGTTTTGGAACTTAATGGTTTCTGCATGCAAATATTCATATTTTCTTGCAGAGAACTTGAGTCCATTTTTGCAGGGTCTTGTTCGTCTTCTGTCTCTTCTTTATCTAGTCTAATGATTTCAGCGGAGGAGTCATTTTTAACACAAGGTGTGCACACACCTTTAGGTACAGGGATTAGAAAAAAATCTGACTGACTTTTTTGGTCGGATTCACCATCTTGCATAAGGACTGTGTTTGTTGAAAGAATTGTAGGTAAAAGTAGTGGCTCCTTTCCATCCTTAATTTTAGGAACCTCATCTTCCTCATCTGAACTACTAATAAGATCCTTCACCCCTGACATCTCCATTCGTGTTCTATCAGCACTAGTGGTAATAACTGCTCTGACATCATCACCACCACCACCACCACATAGAGCTTGCTGAATAGCCTGTAGTGTTCTTGGTGATACATTGCCTTCAACTATACCGGGGCAGAGAGTGACTTGGTCCAAATTCAGCTGCCTTTTATCTTCATCCTCTGGCTCCTCTTCTGAGCTGCTTTCTAACATAGCTGCCTGTATAGCAAGCAAAGTTCTGGGAGAAGGTGGTGCTCCAACTGCATTGCTAGCCTTCTCTGTCTTTAACTTTTCAGGTGAAGGTGGTTTGGTACTAGCATTCATTTCATTATGTATTTTATCAGGTATATTATATTTAGGTCCTGTGGAAGAATGCCCAACTGAAAGAGTTTCTAAGTGTGTACTGGTGGCTTCCTTTACTTGAATACCTGAAAAAGAAAAAGACTGCTAAGTTTCTTCAAACATAACTGTATATATATTCTTTTTCTGCTATAATGAATTGGATTTAAAATCATAAGAAGTTGGTGGTTGATAACCAAGTCTTTTATTGCTCTATTTCTCTGCAATGCAATAATTAAGCTTAGTGTTATAGTTCATCATACTGAAAGTATCAACTACAGTAAACTCTTATCCGGCACTTGACCAACCAGCAAGCTCTATAAACTGGCATTTCTGATCTACACTGAAAGTCTGGTTTAGAATGTGGTTGGTGCAGGGCCGGCAGGGGGCTGTGGCATGGGAGGAGATGCAGGGCATACTCTGGGAGAGAGTTTGGGTCCGGGAGGGAGCTTGGAGCAGGGGGTTGGAGCACGGGAGGGGCTCAGGATGCCGGATGGAGGAGGCACTCACCTCCGGCGAATCCCCATCCCTGCTGTTGCTGGAGGAGGCGTGGCCAGGCAGCTCTGCAGGCATGCTGCCTCCATCTCCAAGCGCTGACTCCGCGGCTCCCAGAACATTGGCCGGGAACCTCGGCCAATGGGAGCTTCGAGAGGGTGGAGCCTGCAGACAGAGGCAGCATGCCTGCTTGCAAAGCTACCTGGCTGCACCTCCAGCAGGAGCAGCAGGGATGGGGAGCTGCTTGCGGGGAGCCGCCAGAGCTGAGCACCCCCTCGTCTGGCACCCTGAGCCCCCTCCCAAGCCCCCTCCCAGACCCAAACTCCCTTCCAGAGCCCATGCTTCGCAGCCCCTCCCATGCCCCTGCCCCACATCCCAAACCCCTCCCTCTGAGTTAACCAGCATTTTTAAATTTACTGGCACCCCCCATTTCCCCAGTATGCTGGTTAAAAAAAGATTTCACAGGAAACTCAGATTTCTCAACAGTATATTCAAGACAGACAGCAATACAGAGTGCCTAAACCAAGTGAGAAATGTCAGGAAGTAAAGAGATAACATTACAATACCTTTTATCAGAATGTAGTGAGAAGTATCTTCAGAGACTACCCTCTTGCTTTCCACTTCTTTCATGAAGCCCCCCTCATTTTCATATTGGGTTTGGATATGGCCTGAGTCCTGCTGACTCATCTCTTTTTCCACATTTTCTATGTATCGATTGAGGTTGTTTTTTTTAAGCAAACCCTTAAGTTGGTATTGTGAGAAGTCATTGGACTCCTTAAACAAACAAAACAAAAGCTTAAAATTAAACATGAAATGAGCCAAAATCTATTTAAATAAAATGCAATTGCTGAATTTTTGAGACAAATGTATTCATTGGGCTCTTGAGGAAAGGACTGTGTTACCAAAAAAATAAAATAAAAAAATTCTCTACATCTCATCACTTTAAGACACAGGACATTTTTCTGTTACTGACTGCAATGTCACAAGGGACTAACATATTAACACAGGATAAAAATAGGTTAATTATTATGACAGACTGATAATACTCTGTAATATCCTGAACCTTATGGAATGAAGATATAGTTTAACTTATTTAATAAAGTTTATCAAATTAGAGGTAACACCTTTGGTGTACACTATTTAAAAATGCAATTGTGTATGTGTTACTGTGACACTGCAAATACCTTCTCTCATGGGGGGTGGGGGGAGTCCTAATGTACTTCCTCTATTATGAGCCCTCCTGGAGATAGATAGATAGATCTATATCTATATCTAATTTCCAACTGGATTCTCCAGGGACCAACTGTCAAAGAAAGGGTTTTTGGATTTTAAAAAAAACCCTGGTTTTAAACCCCCAACCCATATAGGGCCCTGATTCTTAGGATAGGGTTCCAAGGGCTGGGCCTGCCAGAATCCAGGTTAGGGTTGCAGTTAATTCTGGTAAGCTTAATCACATGCGTATAGGTTCCTTTTGTTTGTTTTTTATTATGTTTTACCTTAAGAATAAAATAGACTTGCACAGGATGTGCTATAGGATAACATAACTGTTGACAATCACTCTGTTATCAGTCTCTGAAGAGAAACCAAGCAGACGTCTTTAGGCAACCTGTCTGTGCTGGGAAATAGACAGTGGACTGTGCAGCTTGGGAATACCATGGTCAGAAGGGAGAGAGATGCAGGTCACCCCCCAGAAAGGTAACAGTTGGAAGCAGTCAGTGGATGCCCTTGCTGTACCACTGAAGGGAAATATAGATGCAGCTGCCCTGGAACTGTGACATTGTTTAATGCTATTATTTTAAATATGCTTAGGAACATTGTTTAACTTCACTGATACCTCTCTTACGTGACCAGCAAAAACTGATCATTTAAAAGAGATGGTCCATAACTCAAGAGCAAATAAAATTATAATGGAACCCACATTGGGGTGACTTAAATGTGGTTGCCTATTACGACGTCTATCCTGGCAGGTTTCAATGCCAGCTGCCATCTAAACAGTCCTATTAAGCTTTAAAATATAGTTGTGCTCTCAAAATAGGATTTTGAAAATGGCACTGCAGGGTTCCTGTTATCTCTTAATGACTTTTTACACATTTGCTTAATTTACAAATAAAAAAAACATATTTCCCAAATTCCAGCTCTGCATGCAACTTGGGATCTGGAAGTGAAGTTGTTTTCTTTCTACCTGACTTATCATAAATAATAAGATTCACTAAGTTCCAATTACAGAATAATTCCGGTGGTGATGCATGAGCCACAATGCAAGAATGGGCAAATTATAAAGCAATCTTGGCTCCGCAATTCTAACAGAAGTCAGAAACTAAAACTCTGAATACATATAGAAAGCAAGTTTGTTGAGAACCATTACCCCGACATTTTTGTGCAGTCACTTTTCTGACATACCACCAGGAGTTAGGATTTCTTGATATGAGATACCAATGCAGTCTTCATTGGCACTAATGGCAGCAGTTTCTATCCTACTGGCTTTAAAAAAGCTGATGGATTTTTTAAAATTTTACCTCTGGCATTGTCTCAAATAATGTTCTTCGTCGCTTTGTAAACTCCTTTATGTCTGTTAGGATTTCATGTTTCACTTCTGGAGGCAGACTGCTGAAGTCTTCTGATTCAATGTCTACAGAATGAGGATTGTCAAAGAATTCTTCCTGTAAAAAAATGAAACAACTTACAAGCACTGATTTCATATAACCAAGGCAACAAACATACATAAAGTCACTTATAACCAAATGGAAACTCAAATATACAGTATTTAGTCTCTCAAAGCAGAAGTTAGTACAACAAGGCTTTTATTTAAGGCTGTCAAGAGGTGAAAAACAATCATGCGGTTAAAAGCATTAATCGTGCAATTAATCGCATTGTTAAACAATAATGGAATACATGTATACATTTTCAAATATATGGATTTAAATTACAACAGAATACTAAGTGTACAGTGCTCACTTTATATTTATTTTTATTACAAATATATGCACTGTAAAAAACAAAAGAAATAGTATTTTTCAATTCACCTAACACAAGGACTGTAATGTAATCTCTATCATGAAAGTTGAACTTACAAATGTAGAATTATGTACAAAAAAAACCCTGCATTCAAAAATAAACAATAAAATATGAATCTTTAGTACATCTGACACGTAAATATCTTGTGACACAGGCTACAACAGTGCCATTTGAATGCTTGTTCTCACTTTCAAGTGACATTGTAATTAAGAAGTAGGCAGCATTATCTCCCATAAATGTAAACAAACTTGTTTCTCTTAGCGATTGTCTGAACAAGAAATAAGACTGAGTGGACTTGTAGGCTCTAGAGTTTTACGTTGCTTTGTTTTTGAATGCAGTTATGTAACAAAACAAAAAAACCTACATTTGTAAGTTGCACTTTCATGATCAAGAGATTGCACTACAGTACTTGTATGAGGTGAATTGAAAGATGCTATTTCTTTTATCATTTTTACATTGCAAATATTTGTAATAAAAATATAAAGTGAGCACTGCACGCTTTGTATTTTATGTTGTAATTGAAATTGATGCATTTGAAAATGTAGAAAACCTCTACAAATATTTAATAAATTTCAATTGGTATTCTATTGTTTAACAGTGCGATTAATCACGATTAATTTTTTTGAGTCAATTGCCTGAGTTAACTGATAAAATAAAAGTAGGGCTGTCGATTAATCTATATGGTACCACACTAGGAAGGGAAACTTAGTTGTTGCCCTAACAAAGCCAAATATTGAAACTGCCAAATTACATAGATGAAACATTAGGGGAAATTTACTTCTGAGTCAAAGAACAGGTTTCCTATAACAAGCTCATCATATATTTGGCATGAATCACATCATCCAGTCTTAGAGGTACAGTGATTCTGATTTTCATGCCTTCAGAAGGATCTGCTTTCTCCTTTTGCAGGCAAACTACTTCAAAATGGTGTGTGTTTTGTGAAAGATTATCGGATTATCTTTGATTATTGCATAAAAGCAAACTTTTAATAATGCTGACATTCACAAAAGCATGTTGCTCAGATAAAGTCATTCTTTTTCTTTCATCCTTTCCCAGAAGATCAGCCTTCCAAAAGGGAGATGAAAGGAAGCATGGAATCTACTTGTGAAAACTCAAGTATTACAAGTGTTTCAATATCAATGTAGGTATGTATGAATGTGTGCATGACTTGAATAAATTACGGTGTATGTCCAGATATTTATATTTTTTTTAAAAAGAGCAACATTTTCAAGCCCTACTAAAAGAAACCATTCATCTCTTTTCTCTTCACAAGTCCAGGAAATGTCATTTGAAACGTTTACCTATCCTGAAAGTATTTTTATTGCTGTGCCATGGTGTTTCTACCCCTAGCAGGTCACAAAACATAGACCTTTAAAACATGGTTGTAACCTAGGATTTTTTTTAATAAATAGCTATATTACTGAAAATTAAATACATAGAATTTGAATAGTTGCACAAAGTCTCAATGAGCATTAATATTATCAAATATTTTAGGTAGCACCAACAACAGAAATGACACTTTAGAAACAGTTCCCAATTCTGCAATTGGAACCCTGCCAGGTAGACACTTGCATCCATGCGGAGCCACACTGCATATGGATGCAAGAACCTGACTGACCACATCTGACTGCATGATCAGGGCCATAGATAAAAACATTATCTGCCTTACAGTCTAAATAAGACAAGACTAGCACACCCAGATAGACAAAACAGAGCAAAAGTGAGGGTTTAGAATTCTTCCCTTCTTCACTTCATTGAATAAGAAATGCTTGAAGAGAGTGAGCGTGCTGAAAGAGTTCCAGTTGTAGGGATAGCATTTGTTGCAGGGACAAAGACAAAAGTTGGAATGAGAGCCAAAGGGAGGAGCAGAGACAACGGGAGTGGGACAAACAAAGGGACATAATGATAAAAGAAAAGGCCCAATTGAGTTAAAGTTTTTGAAATGAATAAATTGTGAATTTTGACAGGAGGGACTCCCAACATCCTTTCATACTTTATTGAGAGAAAGAACGACTGAAAAGGTACATATATTAATTTCTTCTACGTTTTCTGTGATGTTTTACATAGTTAACTTAGAGTAACAAAAACGTATTTTTTCCTCTAAATGGTCCAATATTTCATGAATCACCACCTTAGAAAGAAATACTATAAAACACTGGAAAATTGAGTCTCCAGCTCTCCACCAGGAGACAGCACTAATTTCTATATTTTGAGATTAGCAAAGTATCAGACATTTTAGAAGTTATTGGTCCTTAGACAGGCAATCCTATGTTGACACCAGGAATTAAGTGTGGTACGTCTACACACCCCAAACCAGTATATTTGTTGGTTCTTCTTGTTAATATTATCCATTTGAAGTGAGTGATTGAAAAATTTCACAATTACGAAGATATTCAAATGCAGTTACCTGCAATATTTTTTTTTGGCTCATTCTCTCTTCCCACTCTTTTTCATCCTCGTCTTCTGAACTAAAATTACAAAAGTAATCAAGGTGGACAAAAAGGAAGCCGTAGGGTTTTTTAAACAAATGTACCAATAAAGTTTTTTATAATTAGCAAAATAGAATTAACTTACTGCTTGCTTACGAACAGGAAAACTAAGAAACTAACTAATCTGTAATGTATAATTAAAAAAAAGATACAAGCTAGCAGAAAAGATGGAGAGGAACTGGATGGGATACAACGATCATCACTAAAGTCATGATTGTCACAGAGGTCACAGAATCCGTGACTTCCAGAGACCTCCATGACATTGGGGCACCACAGCAGACCAGCCACCGCCAGCAGCAGGACCCCCCCAAGCTGCCCAGACGCCATGACCTGTCCATGACTTTTACTAGAAATAACCATGACAAAAATCAAAGCCTTAAATCACCACTACTGGGTAACGAGATACTCAGTCAAGTCTGAACCAGGTCAGTTGTGACAGTTATTTGGAGGCCTCATGCTGATTCTTAGCACAGAAATAGCTACATTAAAAAACTAACAACATAAAAGGTACTCCTGCTGGTTACTCTGATCAGAAAAGGGGCCAACTGAATAGGCCCTGAAACTGATCTAGCCCTCTCATCTTCAGAAGTCACTTCAGATCAGGGTGGAGGCACATGTACAGGTTGGTGCAGGAAAGCTTGCTCTACCAGTCACTTCCATAATAGATACAACAGAGGGCTTCCAGCTCCAGGGCTATCAACCCCGCCTCTTTCATGAAAACAAAGAAAACTTAAAATAAATAGCAGCAGGTAAATACAGTTTGCATCCCATGGAGGAACACTCTAGGACAAAGTAGATTTATCAACAATCTCAAAAACAGCATTAAAAACTTTCAATATGGATTTTAACATCTCAGACTGAGCTACTTGTCTTAGCATTGCTTACCTCTTTTTTTCTTCCTCTTGTAAAGAAGACAATACATACATATCATCAATTTCTTCTCTTCGAACTTGTGAAATGCTGGGCAGTGCTTCATTGCTTAAGAAAAAAATTGAAAGAGTTATTAATATCTAAGCAAAAACTGACACAAACAAGAGGAAAATAATACTTTTGCCCTTGCCTTTTGCCTGTTAAAGCCGTTTTGATAGCCTGTCTTTTCAGGAAAGTTTTCAAGAGTTTTTCGGTAGTTTTCTTAGAGTCACTGACTGCCAATTCTTTTCTTTGTCTTCGTTTAGCCTGCGAACATGAAATGAGTAACATCAGATTTCACTAAAAGGATATTTCTTGTTAACGGAAGATATTTTTCAAATGAATTACTCTTATTATAAGCTGTAAATTGAGAAACTGTAGTGACAGATTTTTTTTTTAATAAAAAAGAATGGTTCTCATATTAATGGACATGAGCTTTCCATATTATGCCTGCATAAATATCAGAAACTAGATCATTATCTATAAAAGAGCCCAATCCTGCAATCTTTTCTCATTGACTTCTAGTTTTAAAATTGGTATCTTGGAAGCTGCTAGACTTTTCCTCCTCCCTCATGGTTATCACAAATCTGCTATGATCATATACATATCTGGAACCTACAGCATCTCAGAAGGGTTTTTCCTGGGTTTTTAAAAGGTTTTTTGTTTTTGTTTTTTTAAGATTTCCTGCTTTCTAAGAAAAAGAGGAGAGGCAAATCACATAATAGTATCACATTTCCTTGTTTAAATTAATCAGAATTAAATACAAGTTCTTTGAAAAAAATTAACTTTAGTACTAATCATTTTATAAAAAATAGAACAGATGAATGATCCAGTTTTCTAATAATATGGAGATATACCTATCTCATAGAACTGGAAAGGACCCTGAAAGGTCATTGAGTCCAGCCCCCTTCCTTCACTAGCAGGACTAAGTACTGCTTTTGCCCCAGATTCTTAAGTGGCCCGCTCAAGGGCTGAACTCACAACCCTGGGTTTAGCAGGCCAATGCTCAAACCACCAAGCTACACTTATAGATTCATAGATTCTAGAACTGGAAGGGACCTCGAGAGGTCATCGAGTCCAGTCCCCTGCCCGCATGGCAGGACCAAATACAGTCTAGATCATCCCTGATAGACATTTATCTAACCTACTCTTAAATACCTCCAGAGATGGAGATTCCACAACCTCCCTAGGCAATTTATTCCAGTGTTTAATCACCCTGACAGTTAGGAACTTTTTCCTAATGTCCAACCTAAACCTCCCTTGCTGCAGTTTAAGCCCATTGCTTCTTGTTCTAGCCTTAGAGGCGAAGGTGAACAAGTTTTCTCCCTCCTCCTTATGACACCCTTTTAGATACCTGAAAACTGCTATCATGTCCCCTCTCAGTCATCTCTTTTCTAAACTAAACAAACCCAATTCTTTCAGCCTTCTTTCATAGGTCATGTTCTCAAGACCTTTAATCATTCTTGTTGTTCTTCTCTGGACCCTCTCCAATTTCTCCACATCTTTCTTGAAATGTGGTGCCCAGAACTGGACACAATACTCCAGCTGAGGACTAACCAGAGCAGAGTAGAAGAAGAAGAAGAAGAAGAAGAAGAAACCTTGCAGGACATGGCAAGCATTGTTCCCTGCGAGAGATGTGCTGGAATGAGTAAAATAATTCCTCACCCCAATCACAAATAAGTTCCAATCTTTATAGGGTCTTTTTTTTCTTCATAATTGCAAAGGTATTAAAACAGGAAAGGATTATGAAATGAAAATCATCTACTACTAAACTGGGTTAGCGCAGGTTCATTATATAGGTACTTGTGAAATTATAACTGACTTCTAATACATAGTGTACTTCATTTAAACAACTGAGAAGAATGGTGGATTCTTGTCATGCTCAATGTCTGAATTTTTTTAACTAACCTTGTAAACTGCACACAGTCTGCACACTTCCCTGCCACTGCTATCTTCATTCTTCCTCTCCTACTTCCTCTTTTCACAGACTTCTTGTGTCTTGTCTTAATTTAAGGTTCAGTCCTACAACTGATTCTGTGCAGACAACCCCCTCTACTAGGCCCCATTAACTTCAATCTCCAGAAGTATCCTCATTAAATTAATGGAGAGCCCATGCAGGGACAAGGTCCATCACATAATGTCAGTTGCCTGGTCAGAGGCCACTGATTTGACCTGCACAGTACCTGGCACAAAGGACCCCCAAACTTGTGGGACACAATCATTCCGGAGTACAAAATATATCGGAAGGACAGAACAGATCGTGCAGGGGGGTAGTGGCACTATATATGAAAGAAAA